TCAAATGCAGAAAGACCATTACACCGCATAAATTTATATGGCAAAGCAGACCGGTCAAAATTAAATAGGGGTAAAAAAAAATAGAGGATCACATTATTATTTAATCAACTACTTAGTTGTAAGGTGTATAGAGCCATTTAGGAAATATATAGATCGCGAAATCGACATGAATAATTGACCTAAATGAAAAATTTGATGGTACAGTAACTAAAAATTGCATATATGTAGTTTGCCACCCATTCTAACTAGAGTTGTTAGGCGAAATTGACGAAAGGTGTAAGCTTTCTAAATCCATTCTAAAATAAAGATTATGTAAAATTATATCTTCTCTATAATAATTATAAATTCTTGAAATAATGAGCATCTTAGGCACACCCATAAGCATTATTTTGAAATAATTATTCAATTTTTTTAATTAACATAATAAGCAAAAGTTCTACATTAACAATAAGTAAATTTTTTTATTGTTTAGTCAATTTTCGTGATTGACTAACAATAAAAATTATATACATGTGATAGCCGAAGATTCTTCGCGGTTATCATATTAATATTTTATTATAAAAGTTAAAAAAAATGCACGAGCAGAATTATTATGATGGGCATTAATTCAAAACAAACTGTATTATTATTTTCAAAATAACGTATATGCCTGTTATTTTGAGAATTTACGGTAATATTTTAATGTTAATTTGAGGGTGTTTTAAAAAATATAAATCATTAATTATGTAATTAAGTTTAAATACAGCGAAAATAAATGAAAATGTAGAATAAAAATTCGATAATAAATTTAAGAAGCTCAGTAAAACTAAGCTTAATTAACTCGAGGACTAATTCTAACTTCCAACTCTGGAATAGAGCTAGACGATAAACCTGTAATTTTTAATGGCTTATGTATATTCACCAACTCAACGTTATAATTTCTGTAAACTAATGTCATCCATAAAAGTAGCTGAATCATCGACAGTTTCCTTGCAGGGCAGATTCGTATACCACCACCAAACAATACCAAAGAATAGTTGATTTTATTTTGATTATCATTATAAAATCTATCTGGATCGAAAGATTCAGGATTAGGCCAAATTTCAGGGTGGCCTTGTATCCCTAAAAGATTTATGTGAAAAAATGTACCGGCAGGCCATTTATATCCTGCAACTTCATACTCTTTAGTCGTGTAACGAGTTATATAAAGTGATGCGGGAATCATACGAATAGTTTCTTTAATTATGGCCTCACAATATTTTAGCTTTAAGAGTGTTTCATAAGATAGATTAGAAGATTCAGAGAAGACAGAATCAATTTCTGAAATCATTTTTTGTTTTACATTTGGATGTTTACAAACATAGTAAGTTATATAGCAAAATGTGTTGGCATTCTAAATGATAATAAAATTAGCATAAGTAAATTATAAGTAAATAAATAAAGAAAATGTTACTTACAGAATTTGATCCAACCGCCATTGCCTCTACCAAAATACTTCTGATCTCTACGTCGGGCATAGGTTCATACGACACACCGTCAATTGATTTTATTTTTGTTTTATCATTATCCTTTTCGGTGTTTAAAATGATTAAGGAAGTCAACATATCGGATTCCATTTCTGTACCCACTGGCATTTTTTCAATCTTTTCTCTTCTTGTTTTGATTAAGTGATCCAATCTTTCATACATATAAGCACGGTTTTTTAAGTAAGAATTTGCCACGTCTCTAATTATTGGAACGTAATGCCTGAAGAATTTGCCAAACATCGCGAAGAACATGCCACCTTGAAGGTGGTATATTAATGCTTTGACAAATTTATTCCCATCTTTGATCAGTGCATCAGGACATTCATGTTTAACAGTACTTTGCATGTTATAGTAGGAGGCCATTGCATATGACATACATTCACCGGTGACTATTTCTGACATAGTATCATTCGCAATTGCACGAAACCATTCGGCAAGATTTGTTTCTAAAGTCCAATTATTGTCGTTTTTATTATTTGAAACATTTTGCATTCCAAGGAACTGCCAGTACCCGTTCAATTCTTTAAAAAATTTATTCATAGAATTTACAGTGTAATCCCTAAATTTAGGTGACACTAAAACATGATCCATGAACTGTTTGTTGCACTTCCAACTCTTTAAATCATCATTGCCGGCAACTCCATGGTTACTAAATTCATATTCTTCCAAACCCTGATTATATGGTAACCTTGTTGCACATGACTGAATCATTTTTTCAGCATATTCTGGTCGTGAGATAATTATTGCTCTAGTTCCATCAAACGTTACTTCGCAGATATCTCCATAATTTTGTCGGCATTTAGCATAGAATAATCTTAAATCGTAAACCATGTTGTGAAGGTTTCCAATAAATGGTAAAGGGAATGGGCCATTGAGCGGATTGGGGCGAGTTAAGTATTTATAATAAAAATTAAAAACATAGGTAGCAATGATTAAAGCAAAAATGATGAGATAATCTGTAATACTAAAGGCTTCAATAATTTCTCGAATAGCCATTTTGAGTTATGTGCACTTATCTACTAAGAGACAGAGACTGAACAAAGTCAAAACTAACTTTCTTGGCGTACTAATTTTTGATTAAGAATCTGTTTTATAAATAATCTATTATGTTGTTCACAAATATTTATCGTAAAAAACTTTTCATAAGAAAATTTTAATGAAGCTTCATGTCACGTCAACATTTATTTTTTATTTAAGCACCTCACGGGTAATTAAGATTACAAGACGTAAATATTGATTATAGTGAAGCTTAAAGAAAGAAAAATTGTTGTGTCATTATTGATAGCTTTAAATTAATGATCGAAATGTTATTAAAAAGCGATCAAACCCGTTAGGAGCATTTGTATCAATGAAGGACTTCAAGATATCTCTCCTCCTCATCTTTATATTAAGGTTTCAAGATCTTCATTAAATATATTATTCTGAATATTTTATGCATTTATATTCGTGTCAACAGATATTGAATGGATACAATTTCGTGCTAAATAAATTATAACATCTGAAAATCACCTATCTAATTAAATCTTAACACTGGATGGATATTATGAGTCATGACCCATATTTTCTATATATTACTAAAATGGAAATGATCTACGCAAACGCACATATTATTAAAAATAGAAAGGACCCACAAAAGGTATGTAGTATCATTTTATAGAAAATCTCCGATATAGGCAAGTTTATTTAAAGATTGATTTACAGACAGATCATTTTATAACCAATCTTTAACAACGAATAACTCCTGATCTATTGGTCCTTTTTTGATAATTTAGTTACCAAAATGATTGACTAATGTTGAGTTAATTATTTTGGTAATCAAATTATTCAAAATAGATTAGTAGATTAGAGGCTATTCACTGTTAAAGATTATTTTTAAAATAACTACCCTAAATGCTACCCCCCAAGTGCACGTCCTATGAAACACCTCCCTAAATGCACGTCTTCTCTTGGGCCCAACCAATATTACATCTATAGATTTTTACCTCCCTAAATGCAATACCTCTCTAAGTGTACGTATGATTAAATTTTTATATATGGTCCCGTCGCGTTGCATTTAGGGAGGTCTGACTGTATCTGCAAATTAAGTATCTTCAAAATGAACTTATCTATGAATTGATTCTCTATGAAATCAAATGTCTATGAAATGATACATAAGTCAAAAATACGCAAACAAAAAATCTTACCTATCTATAGATTGCTCGGGTACTGTTTCAATACTTGTACTAGTGATGTGCTCATGCGCATGGGAATATTTCGGAATTTTCGGAATCTCATAATTCTGGCCCGCATTAGCAGCAAGCTACCATAATGCAGGCCAGAAGTCCATGCGCATGAAATTTGAAAAAAGGCTAATTTTCCCATCACTAACTTGTACATACAATTAGATTTACAATAAATATGTAAACCTCGGGATATCCTTTCTAGTTTCATATTGCAATCTCTGACATAAAAAATCATTCTATTTTTGATAAATGTTTTGTAATTCTATCATCGATGTGCTCTAAGTTTTAGATTTTCTTTTATATTGATAAGTTACTGATAGGTTTAAACTCAACATATTTATAATACCTTATGTTTAACTGATTCGAAAGTTAATTAAAGAACCTGAAGTTTTATTTCATAGACAATCAATTTTAGAAAGGTTTATTTTAAAGGCAATTAATTCCGAGAGTTTATTTCATAGTTCATTTTGCAGTCGTTTCATTTGAGTGTCGTCAGGTGAAAACCTGCCATCGAGTTTCAATTATATTTTATATCCAGTTACAGCAGAGACTATCCGAACATGGAAGTGATTTGCGCTAAATTGAATTGTTTGAACTAGTGTTCCTATCCATTATCCATTTATTCATTTATCCATCGGATATCCGAATCTAAATTTATTCAGATATCCGTTTATAGTCATTTACTATTAATTTCTTAAGACACATGCCATAGGAAGACTTTCGTATGATGGCTGTTTAAATCAATTTAATTTTACATTATTTATACAGTTTAAAGTACTTTTTAAAAAAAAATCAAACTACGAAG